GATGATGATGATGATGATGATGATGATGATGATGATGATGATGATGATGATGATGACGTGTATAAATGACTATGATTGAGAAACGCATGCTTCTGTCTACAAGTGAGAGTTTGTGTGTAATGTCTGTTTGATGTAGATGTAACAAAAAACTTGAAAAAATAAAACAATATAAAAAAAAAAAGATAGGTTCAACTCTGACCACGGCTTGTCAATCAAGAAAACATTGGGTTCGGTTCAGCCCTGATCACGGCTTGTCAATTTTGCAAGCATTGATTTATGTTCCACTTTTGTCGCGGCTACATATTTCATAGTCATAAGAGCGGTCTTGTTGAGCCATAGCTGACATAGACATAAACATTAGTCACGGCTTGCCACTTAAGCCAGCATTGAGTTATGTTTCTTTCTAGTCACGGCTTTCATTGACATTATGTGACCATACGGCCATCCTTAATATTATTAAAAAGTTCGGTCTGAAAGTTCGGGTATTTAATAACTGCATCAGCTCACTTGGTGCGCGTTCACAAAACGGCAACGTGAACTTGCTGTGAAAGTCCAAATCATCTGGGTTTTTGGTGAATATATATTTATTTCCGACTTGATGTTTCTAACCTATTTCCGCTTTATCTGTAATGAACTTTTATCAGTGAACATTTACCCAGTACCAGCAGCGTTGTCCTCATTAAGTTGTTTACCTGGAGTTTACTAGTGTCATACTTCTTAGCATTAGCTCGTATATACGTGTATTGAAATCAGCTTTCAGCTGCGTTATTAGCTAAAAGTTTCTATGTCCGATTACCAATAAAAGGAGATCTAGGTCGTATCACGTTAAGGCTTGCGTTTGCTCCACATTAATCATCCTTCTGCGAAAATTACTAGGTTCCTGGCATCGTGGTGATGCACCATCATTATCAACATATCTCAGTTACCTAGTAGTTGGATTTGATAATCTCTTATTACTAAGTATCAGTATTTAGAATTTATTGGGTACAGAGTAACGAATTATTGCATAATACCTCGAAAAAGGTTATGGATCTAAAACAAGGACCGAGTGAGCAGAACTCATGGTGCATAGGGCTTACACGTATGTCAGCTGAGGCCCAATACCTCATTTCGTGCTGGATGAGGTAAGACGGACACAGTCACATATTATTCAATAAAAGTAAATATTCCCGTTTTTTTCAAGGTACATATTTATAACAAGAATTGAGCGGTACATATGTGTTCCAAACAGTTTACCCTCATTTCGTTACCTCCCAAAAACTGCCGAATCGTTATGCGACCTGGCTACTCAACCATTGCCACTGGTGAGTCAGGTGTCTCAGTCTGAACATTGAGGGATTTTTCATATTTGTTTAATCGTTTGTATATATGTTGTATATCTAATTATTGACCATTGCAACAAAATCGCTGATTTTTAGACTGTTTTGTGTTTTGTAGATTACAGTCAAGAATATATCAGTGTCTGGACAGGGGATGGGACGAGAAAAAATGGTATTATTAATCACTGAAATAAAAGCGGATTTATTTTCATTTCGACTCTGCAAAATGCTTGTGGAAAAATTTCTACGTTGACGTTATTTCTGCAATGTATATATTCTACATTTTGTCTGTCTGTTGGCGTTCGAATATTAGCTGGCTGATTTAGTAAATGTAAAAATGACTATAATTTTAACAGCAATAATAAAAGATAGGTGGCAAGTGGCAAGAGTTGATAATAAAAAGAAAGAGAAAAATATCCGTCCTTTAATGTTTCCCCTTCTAAACGTTACTCCTCCTGAATGAACATAACAACATTTGTTGTGTTGCAATTTTTGGTATCAATATGAAAATTACTTGTATGTATATTGGAATAGCGTGTTGTTTGATGGTGAAGAACAGGGGTCAATAAGAGAAACAAATGGTGAATTTTGAACTTTTCACCTGAAAGACTACACGCATTCTTACCATATTTGGTCTGCAACATAACTGGAGCAAGGAAATCATAGTTTGACAAATGAAAGTTTACAAATATTTACAACCACTGGGGCAAGGGAAACAAACTTAAAACAAGACGGGTAGAAAAATTAGACAATTAAAAAAACAAATATGCTTGAATAAATTTGAATCTACTGATAATTACATATTCGAGAAAGAGATCACTACAGGAAATTTACCTTATATGATTTCATGTTTTCTCTTCAAGGATCTCTCTGTGGAATGATGAATGTTCGACTATCCGGGAAAAGCTGTTTAGAAATGGACGACGTAATGTCGTATGCTGACTGTAACATACCTCGTCCATTTATATGTGTAAAAGAACATCATCTGACAGGTAATTACGTTACATACTCATTTTATGAACCTGTCTGAAAATCATTTTAATCATAGTTCGGCCATTCTTAATTTTGTGATGCACATTTGGTAATGTCGATATTTTATACTTGTCCCTGTGACACTTTACAATCAGCTTCACATACATATTTACGTAGCTATGGATGAATCTCTCAGATTATTACGTTATTTCGATAATGTTGTGTCTTAGACGATACATAAGCAAAAACATCAAAAATAGAACGCGATCTATATCTTATTAATTTGATAATGGTTGAGTAGAGTATGACAATATTGGCACGAACACGAAACGTAGAAAAAAGCTATAGTTGACGCTACATAAACGGTTGATGAGTTGTCTCTAGAAATGAAAGTAATAACAATTAATATCGGAATATTAATAAAAACTCAATCTGAGACCACCGAAGTATGCAAGAATAATGTCACTTTAACGAAATCACAAAATGTATATAATGGGTTTTGATTCTAGTTGAAATGATTATGGTTTTCCTTTTAAAACAATTCTTTATTTTCACCAGTTCTTCCGGCGTTTATATTTACAGCGTATGCTAGTGTTTATTGGGCTGGTAGGCTATGTCTAAACATAATTATACAGACAGTCTAAGACAGCGCTTTTGGTAAAATTATAGTTTTCCCGCTTGTCAATAAACGTTTAGTGATTGTACGTAGGCGAAAAACTAAAGACCAATAAGAAGCTACCTTCCCAGGGCGCTAATTGTTCTTGAACGGACTGAAGGGATCTGCAATACATATATTCAAAAGGATTATATATTTTTTTCGAATTTTTCTTTCTCGGTGTACTTATTCAGATGATATATACATATATATATATATTTTCAAATAATAAGACAATAAATTAAATTATTGAAATAATCACCCGTGAAGGTTGGAAGCATGAACATTTTTATTACTTCAGATTCAGTTCATATCCCGACAGAAGTTCTCGGCAAACAAACTGGTCAGATAAAAATGCCTCCGAATACAGGTCACCCATATGACAACAATCTACACAAGGAATATGAATTACACGCTGCAGTTGGAAACAGAATCTTCGTCACTTTAGAATTCTTAGCAATCGAGTACCAAGAGGAATGTTTATATGATTATTTGAGCCTGAACGACATCATGGGTAACAATACAACCTTGTGTGGAAATGGAAGCACTACCCGTACAAAGTATTTTCTTTCTATAGAACAACAGATCAAGATCATATTTCACACAGATTCTTCGATTGTCGCTGAGGGATTTGAACTATCTTGGAAATGGATAAATAAAGAAGAATGTGTACAGAATGTACGTGTGAATAATAGTGATAAGAGTGGAATTATATCAAATATCAACTACCCACTGCCCTACCCAGACATGGTGAGATGTTGCAAGTCCTTCAATTGGCAAAGTAACTCTAGAATTATTGTATTGTTCAATAATATCAACATTTCACAAAACAAGTTAGATCCATCCCTGGTTTTGTACACCGAGGAGCGAAGGGTTACTTTACCACACAAATTAGATACAACATTTCCTGTAAGTCAGCGAACGTTTATATCGGACATGAGTGGTTTACGGTTCTGTTTAAACGTTGATTCGATAGAGGAAAATGAAGGATTTTTCGGCACTTATTCAATTTGTAAGTATACTACTTCGTGTAACACAATGTATTAACTGTTTTGTCCTAAGATTTTGATATATGATGTGTAATACGTGACTCAAGATTTTCATGCTCAGTCATCTCATTTTCTATTTCGTGGTTTCTAAACATTTATCATTACTAGAGCGTTATCAATGATATGTATTCCTATGTACTCTTAAAAACCTCTACGTTGAAATCACAAAGGCATCATATGTTGAACAAACAAACAAACAAACAAAACACTTGTGTATCTTTATTATTTCTCATCACAGCAAACGAGGAAATAATACGAGTATCCGAAACTATAAAGATCACACCTAACCAACAGCGTTCCGGGGTCATACAGAGTCTTCACTTCCCCAACAGTGCCCCACGAAACTCTGAACAGACCATCAACTTGACGACAGACATCGGATCAAACATACTGCTTGAGTTTACAGATGTGACTCTCATGGATAGTTTGCGAGATACTGCGTATTTGGAAGTTACAGATACTTCCCTAGGACATGGTTATTACAGACCCATCGTCAACATGACGGCAAATTCAACATCACAGGGTCGTAACGTTTTTCGATCTCATTTAAATTCTGTGCAGGTGATATTTTCATCAAGATCTGGGTCGGATAAACACTGCATGTTCCAAGCAAGATTTACCACAATCACAGGTGTGTATTTCAATTATAACAAAATCACCAAGTCGCTAGGTCCAAATCAGTCTTGTTTGCAGATCATGTGTTAACGTCATTTTTTTTCTCTCTAAATTTATAGCTTACAACGGGAATGTATTACGCTTGCGAGCGAGACAGGTAAAAAACACAATAACGGGTTCCATCACATCATGAATTTTAAATTTTGTAATTAATTACCATCACTTTTGGAAGGCACTAAACTACTGTACAACATCCAATAACTGATTACATCAAAAACAGGTTACATATTGATTACAATAACAGATCTGAAGAGAAAGTAATAGACCAGCATGTTACAAACACTTATAGAGAAAGTAACAAGTGAAATGAGTTCCCCAAAACTCACCATTCTTACAATTTTCCTGACCATCCTATTTTGCCCATAACACTACAGAGGAACATAACGTAAGACTGTTTTGAAGTTCTGCGCCATACGGATGTTATGACAGTGTGGATCATGTGGAAAACTTAAGTGATGTCTCTGTTAACTCTTCCTAGAAGACGTAGGACGAGATGGTGGCCACCATGTTCGAACCTCACTGAATTTGCTTCTTCTCTCTTTATTACGGACAATACAAAAGAATTCTTAAAAATCGGTATAGCGAAGTCCTTTACTTCACTTTGCGATGCATAAAATATTTTAAATCATGTTAAATGTATTGACCACGTCCATCGTGTATACCCTCCTTAGCTTTGCTACTTCCTCAGTCTTTACGAATGACCCGCAGGAACTGGTTACTGTACGAATTTCCTATTATAAACGTTCCCTTTCATGACTCTAACGTCCCTTCATGTCAAATACATGTTTACAGTCGCTCTTGATTTGGTATTGAAGAGCATTCTCCTAATAATCTAATTTCCTTGACAGATGTCGACTGCTGACAATTTGACACATAGGTTTTCCAAAAAATTGCCGGTTGCTATGAACGCTATGGACAAGTATATGGTCACCACCATTTGGAATATGATAAACCTTTGTGTGATATGAAGGTCGATATGTTCAATTTAACCCATAAGTTTGTCTTTCTGTTTGTTGCCACTTCCGCAGTTATTTATTGATTTGAGGACGTTTTATTTCTTGCTTTTTTTAACCTAATTTTGCAAGGCAGGTGTCATCGATTATGCAGAACACACTTATCCTTCCGGGGTAGCTGATCTTGCATGACTAGGGGTGTAGGAAATGCCACCCTTGGGGTCTCAAATTTTGGAAAACCCGAAGCTTTGCCGTGGGTTTTGCCAAATTTGAAAAATCCCTCGGGTGGAATTTCACTATCCTTCACCTTAGGGCATGAAAATGTATTTTTCTCTCATTGCAACTACCAGAATAAGCTCAGAATCCATGAATGTTTGTTTGGTCCAGGTACCATTTTAAAAATATCAATTTTCCCCTGAGCTTTTTTGACGAAAACGAATACGTCTGCGAAATTAAGCATCCCCCATATTTGCAAACGGAGTAAGCGCAGGAATAAATAATTTCGTCTTTCTAACGTGTACGGTAAATATAACGTAAATGGTTTAAATTGTATCACGTCATCTTTTCCGTATAGAAGTTTTCAAAATTCGTTTCGTCACGTAATTGTTGAGCCATTGTGACGTCAAGTCACGTGAAATGGGGTGTAAGTTAAAAATGTCTTACCCTGGACAGCTCCATCTAACACACACGTTAATGATTGATAGTGTTTTATTTCACTAATTGTTTCCTTCCTTTACACAGATAATACACGAACTAGCTTTGAAAAATGAAACATTTGTATCATAAACATGGGATTACTTTAGGTTTCACTTCATCATTGATTAATATCATTTTTATTTTAGATGATATGTATTTAGAAAAGACCAAATCCTTAACGGATGGAACAATACGTTGCTGTGGTAACGATACTTGCCTTAATGGCGGAGTCTGTATCAGCCTAGAGAACGAGAGATCCGCCTGTAAATGTGGAGCAAATTATACAGGTAAACCTGATAGTACATGAATTTTCATAAATACATGTCATAAACATAACATCGATGTATTGTCTAGCCAGAAATGTTCACACGAGTATAATTTTGTGCCATTGATAATTTCACCGCCAACTCCTGATCTGTCATTGTTTGTTTATAAATATCTAAAGATCATATTAGATATAGTTGTTATTCTACAAAATTTAAGATATGATAAACAGTTAAAATATTATAACGGTGGATCTTTCATGTCATTAAATAAAGTAACTATGCAGTAACAAACCTCACCACTGACAGTGAAACGGCATTGTGTATCATTTGACCAATTCACACATTATCATTTAAACTATCAATAAGTATAAGCTTATCACAATAATATAACTGTTTCGTCATTGTCAGTAAAGACGTGCTATGCATCAAATTTGCTCTCTAGATCACAATGTAATGATTGGTTTCGTTTGACAGAGAGTACGAACATGACACCGGTTTGTATCAAATTCAATTTTCACACAGATATACCATAATTGCAAAGAACATGATATGTATTAAATTTGACCAATCATCACCCAAATACATCATACTAATTCACGAACGTATCACAATGACATAATTGATTTCGTTACAGAAAGTAACGACAATGATATGTATCTAATTTCATCAATTTACATCTAAATTTACAACTACATGTATCATGTCAACAAGATTGACAGTCAAAATGTTTTAAAACTGATCAGTTTTTTTTAAAATTAAATGCTTCCTTAAATGTGTTTGAGACAATTCCATTTCTGATATAACAAAACATGCAGTATCTAATGTTAACTTACTAAATTATCTGGGTTCGTTAATTAGTACGGTGCCAGATGCAAGACCACAAGTTCTCAACTCATTGTTCATGTTTATTTAAGTGAACCACCATTTTCAACAGGATTTCATTTTGATCACGTAGTTTCTTGCACAATGTTAATTGATTATCCTGAAGCATTTGGCATTCCCTGGTTTGTTTTTGCTGGTGCGGAGCCTCAGATATTATTTCGCCAATCCGGTGTTATAAGATACAACACTTTCTATGTGGGACTTTGTTGTCAAACTTCCCAATCTATGAGGAACGCCTAACAATATAACAGTAGTAACATAAGCCACCTGACAATATGAATTTGTTTCCTTTCTGTCAATCATCATTAATTTGTAAGTATACATAGGGAATGGGTAGTAGATTGACTTGTTGTCTTCCAACATAGATAGTTAATATCGCCTGGTACACCAAACCCCCTTCTTGGTTTTGAATGCCTGTTCCGTCCCATTTTTCGCTCGTGTCTTTGGCAATAATAGCTTAAATGTAAGTTTAGAATCAACATATCTTCAACTTGAATGAACTATATTATGAATGTTTTGATGTTACGTCTCACGGTAGTAAGCGATTTGCAAACAAAAACCGTTGTACCTTCATGAAGTTAATAAATGGATGAAATCTTAAGTCAGATACTTGAGTTAAAAAAGTGTCCTCACTGTTCACGGCAATGCTGTAACAAACTGACATATAACACTTCAAATATTAATGGTCATTTCCAAAAGTAACACGATGCAAGTATTTAAGAACTTCAGTGTTGTCTATGTGCAAGAAGGAAGGTTTCTCGAGTCAGATTTTCCTTTTTAAAATGTGTTTCGATACCACATGCAGCTTAAATACAACATTTCATTATAGGTCTGTTTTGCCAAACGTACTTGTGTGACCTTTTCCCTTGTGTACACGGAGAATGTGATATCAATGATGGTGGCGCTACCTGTGAATGTGAATCCGACATATGGGGCGAGCACTGTAACATGACAAAAGTACAGTGTAGCGACTATTGGTGTCAAGGCCACGGAGTCTGCGCACAGTCCAAACAAAGTCCGCAGTGTATCTGCACAGGGCAATGGATAGGTGGGCCATTTTTGTTTAGCTTATTTGTAAATTTAAATAATCTTTGCAGTACATGAATTTAGCACTAATTTGCATACAAATATTCTATAAAATCTCATCAAATACTCATATGAATTCAAAAGCAATCTTTATGAAGCATGTATATGAAAAATTGACATCGCACGTGAAAGTCGTTTAAACAAACCAGAATCGAATTTTTACAATGTTTGTAAAGTCAAGAAAGAAAATGTCACAATGTCAACAAAATGGGCCAAAGTCTTGGATTGAGGGTAACCTACATAGTTCTGGAGACATTATTACAATGCCAATTCTGTATTTGTGTATTGGAAAATCCAGTTATTGACTTTTCTATTTTGCCTCTTAGGACCTGGTTAATTAAGTCCCCCAAACGAAGTGGGGGGACTTATTGTTTTTGCTCCGTATCTTCTTCTTCTCATAATGTCAAATAGGTCAAAATTAAAATATTGTCCGATTTTCATGAAAATTGGTATATAGGTACTATATGACACCACAGATACAACTGTTACGTCCATTTCCGGTTCCAACAAAATGGCCGCCATTTCCTGGCCTCTGAATTAAATATCGTTCGATTTTCATGAAAATTGGATATAGGTACTTTATTACAGCCAAATACAACCGTAACGTCCATGTTCCGGTTTCAGCAAACATTTCATAGTAAAGGGGTCGTTTGAGGGACTTCTGTAATGGTCCCCATTATAATTAGTACTTGTTATTAATGAACTTTTGAAAACGTGCAATCATCTGTTTTTGTGTTAGAGGGTTCAAAATGTACTCACTAAACAGGGAAATGTCTTGTTTTTAATTTTGTATTGGTAACAGTGATCCGATATTTTATACACTTTATGGATAAAGGATTGCGACCAGATAAAAAATGCGGGGGATGGTCAACAAAATGACTTCAGTATATCAAGTTATTACCATCATGTTTGAATCAAACAGTTTACTTAAATACCTCTGATTATTTTAACATAAAGGTGAAGATTGTTCGTCCAAGAAGCCAGCGAAGAAAACGATAATGGGAACTGGTGAGAAACTGCTAAATGAACCTATCTGGATAGGCATGATCGTCGTACTTAACCTTGTATTTGCCTTCACGTCGATGTTCATCGTACGCCGTCGATGTGAGAAGAAATTGAATTGCTGCAAAGAAACAAAGTCGACCGAACATGGCATAGGTACAAGTTCTATATAGATATATGTATGTCTATTAACAAAATAGCTATTGCACAATCTGTAGACTGTTTTGTTTAATTGCATTAAAATTAAATATGGATTTTAACGGCTACATCATTTTGCAGATTGTTTTGGTTAAGTTTTGCGGTTATTACAATCTAATGTCCGAAGGATATGAAGGTTGGAATTACAAGAACTCTACAAGGAAACATAAAATTTCACAAATATGCTTTTCTGAAAACAATATGGTACAATTTAAAATTATATATTTTCTGATTGTTTTTATATATTTGTGACAACATTATTTAATTAATCCATAGAGAAAGGAGGGCCAGACAGGCTGACAGAAAACAATTACCCTTGCATCGCAGATATGTATAAACACTATCGGTACCCTGCCAATGACCAGGACGTATCTTTGGAAGACAATGAGGTATAAGTCAGCGACTCATTCTATGTGATTATAATGCCAAAATAGTTCCAAATGAAGGTTATTTTATTAATGTAGTTCGAACTTGGCTATATTGTAATTCAATGATGGCACATTCGAAAGGTACTCAAGAAACAATGAATTGATACTAGTTTGTACAAAATTAATAATAAGTAGATAAAACCAGTTACAAGATTTAATTGGAGAGACAAATTTAGCACATAAATGCAAACATATTATTTAATATAGCTTGTATTCTTATATGTAATATTTCTATGTAATCCTGAAAATGCTACAATATCTTCCGAAAACTCATAAATCATGTAGCAAAACTATAATTGTAAGAGTAATTGTATTGGACAAAAAGTGGAAGCGTTCTAGAGGTGACCAACAGTATTGAAATAGAAATTCATATTAAATATGACATTGTCAATCGACAGAAAAAGTCACAGATAAACAGATAAAACTTCTTTGAAGTGAAATAGTGTGATCAAAGTTATGCAGTTCGACACTTATATTTCATTCATTTTCGTAACATGAAATATTTCTATGTAATCCTGTAAATGCTACAATATCTTCCGAAAACTCATAAATCATGTAGCAAAACTATTATTGTAAGAGTAATTGTATTGGACAAAAAGTGGAAGCGTTCTAGAGGTGACCAGCAATATTGAAATAGAAATTCATATTAAATATGACATTGTCAATCGACAGAAAAAGTCACAGATAAACAGATAAAACTTCTTTGAAGTGAAATAGTGTGATCAAAGTTATGCAGTTCGACACTTATATTTCATTCATTTTCGTAACATCAGGGAGAAGAGCTCTGTGACGAAATTGAGTCGCCAGATATCAATTTTGTTAATCATCGGGCCGCTGCCAAACTATTCGCATCTTACAATAACCGACAGTCGGATCTCACTGTACCTGTCATGGAAAAACGTCCCACGATGTTGGAAAAGAATTCCGAGGACTCCGTGGGAGGAATGAAGGGAGGCACCCTCAATTTTTGTACTGACCAGGACATTGACATAACCTGTGATGAAACGAGTGAAAGTGAGATAGCTGGGGCCTGTTTTGATGCCGCAGTCCCTATCCTAAAGATTTCAGAATTAGGAATGAAATCTTTTGAGATGAATTACCTAAGTCCCTTTAAGACAAAAATGCCGCAGTTGGGTAATAGGTTGTTGCCTAAAAACGTCGAGCACTGCTATCCAGAAATCGTTGTGGTAGGCTCAACACCAACACATCTAATCGATCCCTCTCCTCTTCACAGAAGTGGGTCCTTCGGCTATTTAGTAATGCCGTATCAAAGTCCTACGGCGCAGCGGCCGGAAATACCTTTCAAATTTTTAGACGTGGACAGCAAACGAAAACGTTTTGCATCAAAGTTGCGTGTTGAAAGAACACCGTTCAACAGTGAAAGTATATCTGTGCCTCATTCGTCAATTTCTACTATAAATCTGAACAACAGCACTGATCTTCCCGATGTATTTGCTACCATTGATAGTTCAGAATCCCATGGCGCTCGTTCATATGAGGAAATGTATGGAATAAACTCATTGGAATACGGAACAGACCCGATGGAGGTGGACATGCTGGAAAAACGACCAAGCGTTTGTTCGAAGGCAGAAAATACTTCCAGGGATGATCCGTGTAACAACGGGGGCTTATCAGATAGGAAATTACGTCTAGCTCGCACGGAGCGTCGAAGGAGAGGATATTGTCATTCTCATAAAATAAGCTCTGCAAAACATCAAAACTTACCGCTTTCAAAAACAAGCAGTGATACAGATTTGCCATATTTCTCAAAAACAAAACACAAACACAGACGCTCACGAAAAAAACAAAGGAACGAACAATGCCAAAGTATTCAAAGGATGCTAGAATCATCAATTGCCGATAATACGTCACCTGCTTCAACCTCGAGGATTTCTGTACGTAAATCTCGAAGTAACGATCTAGTGCCGAATCATTTGGCCAAAACCCCCTGTAGTCTTGAAAATGGTTCAGATGGAAAGGTTTTGTATGCACCGACTGTACAACGGCGACACTCGTACCACACACAGCAGAACTCTGAGAACGTATACGACCCCGACAGCATGCTCAACACCGACCAATGCCTGGCATATAGACTGGAGAAGAGCGAAAACGACTTGCCGAGACTACCCCCGTTCTCGTCATATGACGTATTAGATGAGTCAACAACTTCCTCTGATGTGTCTGGTATGTTCTTAAAGAATACCAACAAAAGCGTGACGCTGAAAGTTCCACTTACATCCGAAACAGATACCGGATTTTCGTCGTCATCAAGGAGTTTACTTACACCTAACAGTGGCAAAGATGATGCAGATGTTTACATACAATCAGTTGGAAAAGTCAAGAAAATGGACTCTGCGTACCAAACTAAACAAAACTCCGATGACGTCATCGACAAGACGGCATCAGCTCAAAGTCAATATTCACAAACAAACAATGCAAGGTTTGTATAAAACGTCTAATAAGAGAAATATAAGATAGAACGTTTCTTGTCATAACGATGTGAACATTTTCTATTTAGTTTTGCATATACATTTATGTATGTCAAATTGTTTAGATCGTGCGTGGGAAGCTGATTGTAAATTGCCCATTTTATCAATTATACATATTTATATATATATCGGTATCGACTAAGTGGCGTGTTATTGTTTTAGTAGGAAAGAGACCAAAGTGATGGTGCGTTTACAGCAGGCAGCGTTAAGACTACAGACGTTATCGTCTTCCTGTGACAGCGCAGAACAGACAACAATATCGGAGGACAAAGCGGGCGACACCCAAAGGTATTTAATAACATTTCATTAAAACAAACAAAGCAAAAGGCCAATCTTGATAAGGAGTTTGCTACAGCTCTAATCGTTTCAGTAAAAAAATATGGATACAAATAAAACTAAATAATGATGTTTGTTTTACTGAACATAACATTAGAATGATTTAGCACCACCGTACCTTCCTTAGATTCCGTGACATTCTACAAGGTTGTTACGTTTTGCATTTAAATTCGTGAATTGCACACAGTAATTACCTCACAAAGGTTTTGCAATTTATGGAAAAGATATAGACAGGAGGCCCATTGGGTCTTGATCACTGAATTGCTACCCAATGATGTAGGTAAATCTTACATAGGTGTCTTTTAAAGTAGGTCGGCGTAAAATATATCCTAAAAAATATTGTAGCAAGCAGGGTAAAGAGAATTTGTCTACACCTTGTGAATGAAATTGTGTTAAGTGTTGCGAGGTCAACCCTGCACGATAGAGGTCAAATGTTTTAAAATACTTGAGGTCCCATGATTATTGATCAGCAGTCATTAATCACTGTGAACTTTAAAGTTCGTCTCTAACCCCTTCCCTTGGTATGCTACCCACCAAATGCCATAGCACATTGGTCATTTTAAAAGATTTACGCATTTGACCCCGGTGAACATAATAAAGTTGTGCTAAGGTAAAAAAAAACACCTTGTAAGCGTTACATTCCAGGAGTAAGTCACCATTCAAATATCATAACCTTATGTCTTTGGTATATTTGTTTTAGAATTTACTCACATCCGACCCCTATGACCTTGAATGTTAATCTAGCCAATGTCAGCCATTTCCCTTCGAGTAGGTGAGCTAACCTCAAACGTGTGTATACCCAAAAGTTGAAGTTAATTCGGTGATACAAAAAAATAACACCATGAACAGAAATTAGAAAAAGAAACAAAATCTAGACATTTGTAATGGGTTCTAAACACAGCATTGCTCACTTTACAGATGATATTGAAATTAAAATTTGCTAGTTATATAATAGCAACTATTTTTATATCATTTATAGATAGTGAAAATAGTGACTTATATGAAATATATTTCTAGAATGGTCAATATTAGTGTCTCATTCGAAATATTAAAACAAGTTAGTGTTACCTTGATAGTAACATCACTGTTATGTGTATGCTAGAAAAAGTAGGCATCAAACACCCTGCATTTCCTTTTACGTTGTCAGTACACAATTCTTCTGTTGAAGTGGAAAAGCTAATTTGCTCGATTGAGTGATGTAATTTCATACTTTATCCTAGATAATTCTAGTGTTTAAAACGAAAGTATTAAATGAATTAATTCAATTCGTAAATCGTGTAAAGATGACCTGATATTTTAATAATCAAATCTAAATTGAGCACCTGAACATTCCTAATCGAAGGGAAGGATGAGCACGAGCATATCATTTGACTACAGTGATGAACTTTGGTTTTATTTTCAGACATAATAATAGGATATCAGAATATCTCCGTCAGAAAGAAGGATTGGAAGAGGTATCTGAAGAACATGACGTTACTGGTTACACTTTTAGCAGTAATTCGTTGATGAATGACGGAAGCCTTCATGATTCAGTGCTTGATATAGAGCTACAAGACTTCAGTTTTGTGTAGAATTATATTACACAGAATACTTTTTTTTCAAAAAGTATCATATGCTTTGGATTGCAAAGAAGTTACAAATATATATGAAATTAAATTCATATGACAAGATTTCAGGAATTTGATAGTGTACATATGACGTGAAAGGATTCAGATCTATGTAATCTATGAAGTCGCAAAATAAGATATATGATAAATCTGATACGTTTTGAGATTTAGTTGCAGCTTTCAGTAAGCTATTTTGTATTTAGCATTTAATAGCGATTTTTATTTCTATTATGTTTTGAACTATTTAAATACTGATATCGCCATATATTTTTGAGATATATTTTCAATAATAAAAAAACATACATCTGCATTAATAATAGATATCTTTGAATAGATTTGTTCTTATCTGAAATACAGTTATAAGAATTAGATATTTTGGTGGTTATATTTACTGGGTAAAACCCCAAACGACTTACAATATTTGATAAAAGGCATGTTAGCACTATTATTTGAAGATCACTTTCATGATTTTCGCAATGTTACAAGAATTTAATGTGTTAACTGAACCTATAATGAACTTATAAAAAAAGGGGCAATGTTAAGTTTTGGTGCATCCCATGAAAGGGATAATGTGAGGTTTTAGTGCATCCCATGAAAGAGATAATGTGAGGTTTTAGTGCATTCCATGAAAAGGATAATGTGAGGTTTTAGTGCATCCCGTGAAAGGGATAATGTGAGGTTGTAGTGCATCCCATGAAAGGGATAATGTGAGGTTTTAGTGCATCCCGTGAAAGAGATAATGTGAGGTTTCAGTACATCCCATAAAAGGGATAATGTGAGGTTTTAGTGCATCCCGTGAAAGAGATAATGTGAGGTTTTAGTGCATCCCGTGAAAGAGATAATGTGAGGTTGTAGTGCATCCCATGAAAGAGATAATGTGAGGTTTTAGTGCATCCCATGAAAGAGATAATGTGAGGTTTCAGTACATCCCATGAAAGGGATAATGTGAGGTTTTAGTGCATCCCATGAAAGAGATAATGTGAGGTTTTAGTGCATCCCATGAAAGAGATAATGTGAGGTTGTAGTGCATCCCATGAAAGAGATAATGTGAGGTTTTAGTGCATCCCATGAAAGAGATAATGTGAGGTTTTAGTGCATTCCATGAAAGAGACAATGTGAGGTTTTAGTGCATCCCATGAAAGAGATAATGTTAGGTTTCAGTACATCCCATGAAAGGGATAATGTGAGGTTTTAGTGCATCCCATGAAAGAGATAATGTGATGTTTTAGTGCATCCCGTGAAAGAGATAATGTGAGGTTGTAGTGCATCCCATGAAAGAGATAATGTGAGGTTTTAGTGCATCCCATGAAAGGGAAAAACACCGGAGTGTACTCTCATCATAAACCGCTTTGCGGTTTATTTAGAGTACACACCGTTTTTTTTGTGTTACAGCTCCAAAACATAATAAATATACTCAAGTTAATCCTTAATTATTTGTTTTATATTTATAACAAGAAAAATATCAGTTATTTTTTGTGTTCCACAACGTTTCATCAAGCTAATGAACGTTGATTTAACCTCGTGATAATACTGATCAAACATCGGTGCTGCTAATTAGACAATCGGTGGTTTACATACTCAGACCTGGTGCTCAGTCCTGTTACCTGATGTTATGTAGTTTTAGATTTTAATTGGCCTATACACATGATAATCCCGTATTTATTGCTATTTGTTATTTGTTGTATATATGCCATATTCGTGAAAAGAAAGTAAATATCTCAAATGCTTTCATAGTTTGTCGTTCTTTTATTGTCAATACGCCTATTTATGCAGTCCTGGGTCATCACGAACGTGACCAATGCTAAAAAATCTAGCTTCCACATACACTAACTACGTAACATGGACCTCAGATAAGTCATCGTCGATAGATCCGAAAGTGAAATTGAAGGACTTGTTATGTGATATATTGTTATCAGTCTCATATGGAAAACAAGTCGGCCAGAAAAAGGGGCACAACTTGTTCTCATATAGGAATGCCTACAATCTGCTGGAAAATCTTGCCACCAAACTCAATAAAGATATTGTCAACCAGGAACTCAATCATTCTCACAATATCATTATCTACATATTACCTTTTGGCCTTTATTGTGATTTTCACAAAATTAATCCAAACAAATGTACAACCAAATATTTATATCGCTGTTCGCCTTTCGTTGAAAAGGAAGCTCTCATAACAAGGGGACGAAGGCGTTCCTTCGGTTTGGTGTGAGGTATGGTAGTGCAAAGTGTCGAAAAGTCAAAGGTTTTGATAGAAGAAACCTTTTTAGAAGATGATGTTCAAGATAAATAAAAAGATCCTTTTGAATTCTATAAAATCCACATACCATTTATTCCACTTCTGAGGAGTTTGGAAAATGGCTTGGTCGGGCAACTAGAAGAGCCAGCGATAAAACTTTGTTTATAAGGATTCTTGTGAAGTTTCGGAATCTAATACGAACGTATCCTTATCATTAGTGGATACTCGGAAAGACTGTAATACGGTAGCCTGGTCTGCTAGTATTACATGGTTTCCTTGCTTATCTAGCAAACATACTTCCTTCTGCAAGCAGGTAATATAAAAGAATTTGCAGACAAAGATTACATTATTGGATGCTTTGTCTATAGTGGTATATACATACATATCATGCCGATCGTTGATTGTGGTTTGGACATCGGGTCAAGAAATGCAGACTATTAATGATTACAATAATGACTCTTATATTATATGTGGTGATTTTAATTTAGTTATGAACCCTGATCTAGATTATGACAATAATTATAGACATGTAAACAATCCTAAAGCAAGAGATAGAGTAATTGAGTTAATAAATGAATTTGGAATGATAGACATATATAGAGAGCAGCACCCAGAGACCAAAAGATATACATGGAGAAGGTCAAACCCAATCAAACAGTCACGTATAGATTATTTTTTAGTTTCAGAAAATATGATATCTTGTATTGAAAAATCAACAATTGAGCCAGGCTATCGATCAGACCACTCAACACCAATTATATCAATAGTTTTTAACGATTTTAAGAAAGGAAAAGGCCTCTGGAAGTTCAATAATTCATTGCTTCATGATAGAGAATATCTTAATATTATTAATAAACATATTTTAGACATTAAAATACAATATGCACTACCAGTTTACAACCTCGATTATTTGTCTGTCATTCCAAATGAAGATATTTAACTAACAATCAATGACCAACTTTTTTTTGGAAACTCTTTTATTTGAAATAAGGGGAAAGACTATTTCTTATGCTTCATACAAGAAAATCCCCCAAAACAAACAGGAAAGCTATCTTAGAAATAGAATTAAAGAACTAGAAGCTCAAGAAAATGTAGACTTTAAAGAACTACAAGAAAAACAAAATGAATTAGAAGTAATAAGAATACATAGATTAAAAGGAAGTATTTTGAGATCTAAAGCTAAATGGGTAGAAGAAGGCGAAAAACCATCTAAATATTTTTTAAATCTTGAAAATAGAAATTTTGTTACTAAAATTATCCCAGTAATAGAAAAAGCAAATGGAGAACTGATTAGAGAACAGGGTGAAATATTAAATGAGGTACAACATTTTTATGAAAAATTATATTCTGCAGATAATGATCTTCATGAGGTTAATTTAGATCAGTTTTTAAATGGTAATAGTGTTCCAAAATTGAGTCGTCAAGAATCAGAAAGTTTAGAGGGGAGTATTTCTTATAATGAAGCATCTTGTACACTTAAAAAGATGAAAAACAATAAAAGTCCGGGGTCTGATGGGTTTACTTCTGAATTTTTTAAATGCTTTTGGAAACAGTTAGGTCAGTATGTAGTTAGATCAATAAGATATGGATATAATAATAATGAACTTTCAATAACACAAAGACAGGGAATCATAACATGCTTACCAAAGGGAGATAAGCCGAGGCAATTTTTGAAAAACTGGAGACCAATTTCACTTCTAAATATAGTATACAAAATAGCATCAGGAACAATCGCAAATAGAGTAAAAACTGTTTTAAACAAATTAATTAATACTGATCAGTCAGGTTTTATTTCAGGAAGATATATAGGAGAAAACACTAGAATAATATATGACATAATGCAATATGCCGAAGAGAATGAAATACCTGGTATGCTACTTTTTATTGATTTTGAGAAAGCTTTTGATTCTGTTAGTTGGGATTTTATTGATAAAGTACTTGATTTTTTTAATTTTGGAAATGATATAAGAAGTTGGATCAAAATTTTTCACAAATGTCCAAAGTCATCTAT